AGAAAACTGGGAAGTTTTTCTGCTCTTGCCCAGGTGGCAAAGGCCAATCTCTGTGGAAGTCATTAAGGAGAACAGCAGGTGTTAACAGTTTCTTATGCAAAGCAAATCTCGCATTAGTTTTCCACTTTCTGCTAAGTTTAGGGGAACTTATATTGTCCTCCCTTTGATTGTTGTAATTTGGGAACATAAGCAGTACTCAAATACTTGCACATTAAAGATATACAGCAAATGTATGTTTACATATTTATGAGAAAAGCTGCAAGTTTTCTGCTTTACTCATTTTTGTTTTAACCAGTGGCCTGACATTTAATCCCAGTGAAGCTGTGAGCTATGCTTTCAGTGTTTTAGCTGGTAAATGTCACTCTGCTACAGTGCTGCATTCACAAACTCTAAAGCAGCTTTTATCAGCAGTGGTGCCATGTGCCAGTGTTCCCAGTGTGCCAGACTGCTGGCTTAGCTTGTTTTTGTTCAACAGCTGTAGAAAATATCTAAAACAGAAAGGCAAGAACTATTCCATTTTTATATGAAAGTGATTAATATGAATTAGAATTATAGAGAGAGTTGCTAAGTATAAATGTTGCATTCTGATCCTTTACTTTGAAACCTGCATTAATATATAGATTGATTAGTTTATGGTCCTGTTTAAAAGTCTGGTTACATTGAATTGGTAGAGGATTTTAGTATGTAGGATTTAGTTTATAGGCCTAGCTGTGAAGCCAGGCAGCCAGTGAGCCAATTTAACAGTTATCTGGACATTTCTTTGCATTAGAGGCGAACGTAAATCATGTAGAGAGACCTGCAGCACTGGCTTCTGGAACGATCCCTTACAGCTTGTTGGCAGCAAAGTTGGATAGCCCAGTTCCCAAGAAAGTCCTTGGGAAGTTGCAGCTCAAGAGGTCACAAAGGTGACACAAAAATTGTCCTTGGCCCCCCTCTTTCCCCCTTTCTGATGCCTCACCAAGGAAGGCTGAACCAAACAAACTAGAGATCTTCAGAGACATATCTCATGCAATGCAAATATTCTACAGGCAACCTTGTAGCTAAAGTAAATAGATATTGGGAAACACTTACCCTGAATAGCCAGTTGACCTTGTAGAGGCCCTGGTCCCTTCTTGCCCAATAGATGCTGCTTCTCCACAGCATACTAGTGATTCCCACTGGATTCCCTGAGAGATACTTGTATTCTGCTGGAGGGGAAAAACAAAGGCCTTGGTCTTTTCAAGGTGGAAGACATCAATCATTCTCCAAAATTTACTTTTGAACAGTGTTTTGAAATTCAGTAGTAGGACAGCTAATCTTTTCTTACATGTTTAAGGAATGCTGTAGATGATTCAGTTCCTTTCCACCGTCAATGAGTTCGTATACTGGCAAGAGCTGAACAGTAGCATTTCTTATAGATTCCACAACAGTTCCTCTTCTTTATAATACGCATACTTGTTTTCTCAGAGGTCTCCCCTGTATCACTTCATGAGTATATGATATTGGATTCCAAACAGCAGGAACACTGGTCTCCCTTCCTCCTGACAGTGTGACAGGGAGTAAGCAGGACTGGTCAGAGCAAATTTTTGGAGGGAAATTGCCACTCCAGCACGTGAGCAACTGCACCAGTTCTAAGCACGACATGTTTCTAGACACTCACTGAGGGTTAACTGAAGGTTAATTTTTAATAATCAGAGAGATTGATTGATAGATCTGACTTACAGATCATGACCTCAAATTCAGATAGGGATCTATTTGTCTGTTGGCTTCAGCAAGTTTATACCAGAGTCTCTTTCAGGGGACAATTGCTAAACCTAAGCATTTTAGAAAATGAACATCTATAGTCAGGGTATTTTACAGGCAGTTTGCATACAGAGATCCTGTAGAGCCACATCTGCTTTGTCTTGTTTGAACCAGTATGTGTGGAAGGGGGAAGAGCAGAGAACATGAGTTATGATCAGATCATGGTTTTTTAGAGATGCCTAGTCCATAATTTCCTGATCCTTTTTCCTGCATGCAAGTACTTTTCCATGAATCAAAGGGCATCTGAGAAGCAGCTTACAAGTTGTAAACAGTCAGTAAAAGGTATAAATTGAATGCATCATATCAAAACCTGGCTACAGTAAAGGTATTGTATTATGATTTTAATTTTGATTATTGCTTTTCTGTTTTGCACCTCAGCAAAGTATTAACAGTGACTCAGTGTGGCCTTTAGAGCTACATAGAGATTCACAAGTAGACCCATTTACTATTATTTCATGACATGACCTTTTGTGAGTACACTTTGTTTGGAATTCATTCTAGCATTTACCTTTGCGTGTGTATCTAGGTGTAAGAATACCAAATACCAAAAAGACTGGAGCTGCTAGTCAAGTTTAATAAAGGGGGGAAGTAGGATGAAGTGTATGGTACGGTGGCTTGATAAAGACCATGATTGTAATAATTCAGCTTTTTAGAAAACCTGTTCTAGAATTCTCAGCTTCTAGGCTGAGGCGAATGTTAGGATTGACTTGACCTAAATCGTATCTGCAATTGGTAACTTTTTGTGTCAGACTGTGGAAAGTAAGGCAGCGATGTGAAACTCTCTCCTTGCTGTAGACAACTGGGTTGAGCTTTCGTAGTAGGTGGAGGCTAAAAGAGTGTGGAGGCAGTGCAAGTCCAGAAGGAAGACAGGTGGAAGGGTGCCTGGGAATAGGGATGCAGAGGGAGATGAATACCAGTGAAGAGAGGATGGGCAGGAGACATCTCAGAGGGCTGGGTAGAGTACAGAGAAACATTGAAATGTAAGACACTGAGGGAAAGACAGGGGAGAGGACTGTAATGCAACAGAGAAAGGGCTTGGGGAGCGATGAAGATGAGACAATGTTTGTACTCCAGGTAGCTCTACTAAAGGAAAGGGAAAGTGGAGTTTCTGTTTAGCAGCAGTACACGTTTTTATCTGTTCACTTAAAGCTGAATTTTGAATCTGAAATCAGTAGTCAGACTGAATATTCAACTCACAAAAAAAAAAGTAGTCAATAACTTTTTGGGACTGTTTTGGTGATTCTTATACACTTGTCTGAAACAGACCAGAGTCTGCAGCAGGTACCCTGGTGGGTTTTGCCTGCAAACACAGGAGAACACTCCAAGTTGTTTCCTATGCCTATTTTTACACTACAGTAGCAAAAGTTATTAAAACAGAGATGCCTAAACATGCTTTATTTTAGGTATCAGTAGCTGTTTACCAATAGCATAATCAACATCAGTACAAATTAATCAAACTGGTCAAGAAATAGGGCAAAATGTGTGGTTCAGTTCACAGGTATGGAAAAGTTTCTTTGAAATGCTAAAAGGCAGCGTGTGTGGTTGGTTTATGTCCTTGCTTGCCAAGCCAAATGTATAAAAAACAGATCTTCATTCTCAGCAGATTGTAGAGTAGGTTTTAAAGTCCCAGCATGGATTTATTTAAAATCAGGTTTAGCAGGAGGTCTGAAATGGTAGTATATTACTCTGATTTCAAAAATCTAGTATACAAATTTGATGTGTTCAGCTTCTTTGTTTCTTAGCTATATAATTGCTAATATAAAAGAATTACACTGTTGCAATTTTCTTATACAAGTATTTGTGGCTTTTGATACCCTAAAATTTCAAGATTAAAACAGTATACAGCATGTTGCTTGTAAGGGGCTTTCAGAAAGTGTCAACAAGTCTTGCATGAATAAATAGTTCAATTAAGATCAAAAATAGAATAATTTTGCGTACAGTATTACATTCTGTTGATTCTGATAAGAAAACACTGCATTACAGTCTTCACATCCTCAAGCTAGATTTCTGGGGCCATCTTAAAGGCAAAGGAAAGTACAGGTGAGAGAGTTTGGAACTCAGCAGCACCAAAGCTGCTGCTGCTTTTAACTGAGGCAAAGTGCTGTTAGCCAGTTTGTCAGTGGGATCTTCCCACAAAGCAAGGAAAGAAACATTCTGAAATGATTGAAACAGCCCTGAAACAGAAACTCTGATTTTTCCCCCACCAATGTAATATTTTCACAAGCTGATGAACTTGGAACAAAAAAATGTGAGTTTGTAGGATATAGGACCATGATTTTATAAAAGAACTCTTTATTTCCACATAACTCCCAGCTGTGCAGAAAAGTGCTGATTACATGGTAGTAGTTAAATTTACTAAGAAATTCCTTGCCTGAAATAAATTTTGATACCCGAGTGCCTAATATACCCTGGTTTAAACCCTTTACTTTTAAGCAATCTGTTTTTCAGTTTACCAGTGTCTAAAATGGAGAGACCACTTTCATTTACTGTTAACATTTATAAGTGAATTTGAGATCCCCTGCTACAAGGACATGACATCTGTTTACCAAAACACCTTCCTTCTTTATGGTTGTTTCTATGTACTAGTGTTTATTAAAAGAAAAAAAAAAATCAAGTCCTGCATATCAGCTAGTAGATTATGTACTAGTGTTTATTAAAAGAAAAAAAAAATCGAGTCCTGCATATCAGCTAGTAGATTTTGATGAAGGTCCTAATTCATCAGCACATTTTTGCTGAACTCCTAAGTGTTTTGCTGACTTAAGCCAAAGTTCAAGAGGTTTATAACTGGATCCCAGATTTAGTAATCCTAATTAAACTTCTTTGGCCTTATTATGTCTTAATATGTGCACAAATTTCACAATTGATACAACACAAAGTTGTGACTGAGATTGGAACCTGGTTTAGTTACATACCCATGAGTCAAGGAATTCTGCTTCCTTCATAGAAATTAACTGTGCCATCTCAGAGCTCTTCTCCTCCTCCTTGACATGTAAAAAAAGATGATGTTTTTTGGCAGCTAGTTTGAAATAATGTCTTTTGTTTGCCCAGTCTGCCTCCCCCCTTTTTTTTATCATGTTTGCTTGCCTCTTCTACTTTTTAAAATATCTTTGGAAATATTTTTTTGTAAATGTAATGTTATATGAATATACACACTTTTAATTCTTTACTGTATGAAAAAACTCATGTTTTACTTTTGTAAAATGTTTCGTCTCTTTTAGATATTGTGCAATGGACCAGGAACATGTGTTCCTGTCTGTATATGTGCTCTTCTTCTTGGGCTTCTAGGAATAAAGAGAACAATCATTGTGTATGTAGAGAGCATCTGCCGCGTGGAAACTTTATCCCTGTCTGGAAAGATTCTGTACTACTTTTCAGATTATTTCATCGTTCAGTGGCCTGATCTAAAGCAAAAATATCCCAAGTCAGTATATCTTGGTCGAATAGTGTAACAACAGAAGACAAGCTTTACCTAAAATAAACTCTGCAAGCTCCTCACTGAAGAAATGCATTCATGTAGCAATTTATTTTCGAGGATGCCTGTCAAGAAATTGGACTGGTACTGGAAAAGAGACAATAATAAAGATATCTCTACATTTAAGTACATTTTTGGGGTAGCTGTATTTATTGCCATCGTGTAGGTCTGTTCGCCAATACCCCATAATGGCCTTAAGGCTATGCTGTCTCTGTTTTCATCTAGTTTTCCTGCTATGTGAATGGCAATTTCTGTCTACAAATAAATATGGGAATTTGTATGAATGTAACATTTCCTGTAAGGAAACTTTGTGTAGTTTTCTAAATTGTAAGAAACAAAGTCTTGTTCCAGCACAACAGACTTTATTTCCTGTATGCTAGCAGTGAGGTCCCTTGTGAATCCTTAGAGTATAAAGGAAACAGTTATATTAAGTTGGCTTCATGACACTTTGTACTCTACAGTCTTCCAAAACCCCCAAAGCATTAAACCAGTATCATTTTTCCTTTGGGCTTGTCAAAGCTGTCCTTATAATCTGTAGTGCACCTTTTGAAAATTGTTGCTCACTTCTTAAGATAAATAAAAGGTGACAAGTGTCATGCTACAGGCACGGTACTTACAGATTTAAGAAGTACTTTCTTCAAAGCTTACATGCAAAAATCCTTAGCAGGTTTACATCACAGAGAGCAAACTGTCATTTGGGAAAATTGAACTGGTTCAGGCTCTAAGATATAGAAAAGAAAAAAAAAATTGCTATCAGTAATACGGGAAGGGACAGAGTTTCCCTCTCTTTTCCTGATACAGTGAATTTGACTTTCAGTATATCCTGTTTTCTCATTTTAAGCACCTTACTTTCAGCAGTACAATATGCACTTAAGATTTTGTCATGGAAAATTGTATTCTGTACATTAGAACAACTTTTAAAAGGTGTTTTGTTAGAGCTAAGTGTGTGAAAGTCTACTTTAGCATTTCACATTCATCTGGCAAAATGTAATTCTACACACTGTTCTACCTATAAAGCAATATAAACACATCTGTCATCTGTACACACACAGAGCTATGTGTCTGGCTACAGAAACATATACAAAGAAAAAAACTCAAAGAAAAGTAGAAACGCTCTACAGCCTGACTGTGATGAAGCCAACAGCAGCTCCTTGCTCTGCCGCCGGAGGAGACTCACTCTCTGAAGCCTTTTCCTCAGTATCGGATGTCAAATCGTTGCAGCAGCTATTCTGGTAGGGAACCAGGGGTTGGAATTTAGCTGAACAGAAACGGTGGTTCCTGCTGTTAGGAAACAACATCTAGAGGAATAATCTGCTTTATGCAGAAAATCATTAGAGATCATCAGAAAATATTATGCAGAAAACTACTGTCATGACGTTGCGAGGCCCTGTGGGGAAGCCAGCCATTACAACCTGTCCAACAGGCTTAATAATCTTCAGCGTAAGCAGAGTCTTTTGATGTGGTCACATGTGAGTTCAGAAGAGAGAATTTTTGTGGTTTTTAACCTAGATTATGTCTGACATTAAAGAGCAGTTAATAGGTTAGGACTAAGTGGGAAGGACTCTCTGTGCAGTGCATAGTCAGGTCCTTGAAAATGACCTGGCTGAAGTAAATCTGATGTGTTCAAGGGGTTTTTTTCCCCTGAACTGGAGTGAGAACTATCTTATCAGGACTTTCTGTACAGTTGCAGATAGTTCAGTAAATTGGAGAGACAGTGGACTTTATTATGGCTAATGGTAGTTTATTTTAGATTAGTGCGCTCTGCACCGAGTCTTGCTTTGAATCTTGCTTTCTGTTTTGCAAGGGAACTAGAGTAGAGGGGAATGAGGACAGAGGCAGCCTCTTCTTCTGTTCTGGGTAAGGGGCAACAGCACAGGATCAACGCCCCGAGGCTTAGAGAAGCACGAGAAGAGAAAGGCAATGAATGCTTCCATTCATGCACCACATCCCGTGCCTGAATAGCCCGCTGGCCTGGCAGCGAGGCAGACTCCTGGACTGCCTCGTCCATAAACACAGCCAAGGCTCAAATGGCACTGAGTTCACATGCTGCTTCTGTTTAGAGCAAAACAGAATGTAGTCCATCCGCATCCTGCTCTAGATTTATACCTCAGTGAAAGCGTCTCTGGCTGCTCAGTTCTCCCTTTAGAGCCCTGCCCAGAGCAGGATATTGGGGTTTGGTGCACTTTCAAACTGTGGGTTCTTAAACTTTGTGAGTCTGCCTTTGAACACTAGGGAGTTCCAGGATTTTTTTTTACACCTGTCACGTGCGTGGCAACCACTACTGCTAAAAGAAAGCACGTGCATGTTCAGATTTGTAACCTCCCATGTGAATGCTCTGAAGGTAACAGTAGATTTCTTTACAAGAGGCTGTTCTGAAAAATTGAACTGCTCCAGGCCATCTGATGTGGAGGAATCTTATTTTCAAGGACTTGGGAAGACTTTTCCCCCTTTACTTCGCTGCCAGCCTTTTGGGGGAGCAAAGCCAAAAGACTCTTTGCCTATGTTCCCCCAGCAGCACGTTCTTTACTCTGTTTGGTCAACTTGGGAAACACAGGTTAAAATAGTGCATATAAAGTGGTTTTTAATCCAGATAATCAGCTATCAGAGAGTGGGACAGTACCCATTTCCTTATAGTTGTTGCTATTTTCCTTACTGATGACTGGCTCAAGTGCCAACTTGAGTTAAGGGCACTTACTTTCCAGCAGTTTATAATTAGTCTTAGCAAGTGAAAACTTGGATTAGAAATGACCCAGAAGTCTATAAAGTTGAAGCAAGTGGCTAGAACTATTCAGGAGAGCTCAGAAACGGAAAAATCATAGCCTAACTCTGACCAAAGCCTTCAGCAAAACACTGCATCGCAACCATAGGGGATGGAACACAGAAAAGAGTTCCTGGCTTGAATTCTCTTAAAGGAAGTTTTGTTATCAACTAGATTGACTTTTTCTTGAAAAGATTATCTCAAATAACTGCTAGTTCTCTCCAAAAGCACGGTGGAGCAGAAGTAAACTAGCATTTTGTTGTTGAGTAGCTCTTATCTTTTGTTTTTAATAGGTGGGTACAACCAAACTGTCATTGTTCTAGGGGAAAACTGCATTCTTCCTGCTCCCAGCATGGAACAGAAAATGGCATTCCCAGGGTCTGTCCAAAGACTTAAAGGTCGCTGACTGAATTCCTTATGTTTAGATTCTTGGGATTTGCTCTGTCTCGTTCTTTCCCTTAAATATTAACATTGAGACGAACACGTTTGTGTTTTTTGCATGAGGAACCTTTGGAGTGAAATACATTACCTCTTTTTTCTCCATTTCCAAAAAAGGAAGGGATAATATTTTATGGATATAAAGCAAAATAGGGAAGAAATATATTCTTAAAGAAAACAAATATGACTTTATGGAAATATTATCATCAAAACTGGCAAAGATTCAAAAGAGAACAGAAGGCATGCAGAAATTCCTTCCCTGGGTCCTAGCCTGGAAGCCAAATTCTAAATGAGTTTTAGTTATCAGGTTGTTTTATCTAGATATACATTAGTTGACAAATATTAAGAATTCAGAATTGCTTCTCTTTTGACCTGGTTGTTTTCTAATGGAGAGTATATATTGCATGTACATTAAAAACCAGGTTAATTTTATTTTAGAAAAGGAAGAAGGGAAGATAAAAGAGGAGCGCCAGTTGGACTGTAATAAAATAATTATATGAGAAGAAGGTTGACTCCTGATAAACACAGCTTAGAAGATTATTTCCAAGTTATGCCAGAAGAAAGCTAAACAGATTGATCTGAAAACTAAACAGACTGATCTACTTTCAGCCAATGATTCAAATTTTGTACAACTCTGAAGTGACCATTCCAATAAAGTTGTGCTGGTCTGTAACATTTTGCAAGCCATTAACAATTTCTGGGGACAGTAGTCAAAGTCTCAAAAGTAACTTCTGAAGTTGTACTCACACAATTCTTTGGACATCTGTTTTTCCATGCAAAAACACTCTGTCATAACAGATGACAGTTAATGCCTTGAAATAAAAGATTGCTGTATGCAAACAGCACATCGACCATTTTAGAGGTACAAATGCAAATCATGTTTGTAAAGCAAAAAGATCCTCCTATATCTGTGCAAGGGGCCACAGAACATAAACAGACCTGGTGAGACCATATTTTCCATCCTTTTTTCACTCCCAAATGAGCTCATCAGCGTGCCTTAGCCAATGTGCTATCATCACAAATCGCATCCAAGCAGCAACTTGTTTTCCTGGGACAGGAGAGAAAGTAGGCTGTCTACGTGGAAGAGTATCTCAGAGGCACTTAGGTAGCACCACTTGCACGAAAACCTTTGCTTGGTTCAGTGCCACATGGCACAATGCAACCAAATGCTTTTTTTGCCCTACACTTCGATCCTTGGGAAACAGCACAAAAGGCTTGTTGTCACCATTTCTTTCTAAGGGTTGCGTCTCCTACATCTTCGTGATGGAAATGAAGGGCTTTAACAGACCCTTGCTGGATGTCTTCATGGTTGCTCAAACACATTGTGTACACAGTACTTGTATTTCCCTTCAAATCATGTTTGTGTTGCCTTTGCCTCTACTGATCACACTTCAAATCAAGTCAGTGTGGTAGGCTATGGAGTTACTGTACTGCAGCAGATACAAGCTGCTGATCTTACCCTGCTTTTATTTGTTCTTTAAAGGAACTTTTGCTCTCCCAACTGGAGGCGCTGGGAATGAACACAAGCATACAAGGACTGTAGCTGTGGCCATCTCACATCTCTTCTGGTAGTTTGCAGTGGTGCACTTAGTAAAAGCCTGACACAGACTACTGCTAGGTCATGCATGTCATAAATGTTGAAGCTTTAAAAAGTAACTTTTTTTTCTTTGATTTAAAACTTACTGTGCAAATCAGAAACATACATTTGTATCTAACATTGGGTATTTTAAGACAGCATAGCAGGCATAAGCAGTAAAATTCTCTTCATAAACATTTCCTAC